GGGCGACCATTTGGTCAGTTTGCGAGCTATGGCTTCCAACGTGCCTCCCGCGCCAGCAACGGAAGAAGCAATTGTGGATTGTGTTGCGTTTTTTTACGAGGAGGGGAGTTATCAAATGGTAATGTTCGATTGGAGATTTTCGATTGAAGTTTTCAGAGCTATAGCTTTTTGCGACTGACTTGTGTGCAAATTCTCCTAAGTTAACTAGGCTCCATAACTAGTGGCTTTTCGGAAATTGAGCTGCAAAGTCTGGGCTCGAGGGAGCGGCAGAAACAAAACCTATGATTTAAGCAGACACAAAAAGATACAAAGGCTTCGGACAAAGTTCATGACATTCACAAATACTTTGGTGAAATTAGTGTTAGTTTAGTTTGCTCTGTATGCCCCACTTGTCACCATTGTATCAGTTTTTGACGGTTTTGTATGTGGTTTTCGGTTTTGGCCGAATTTTTTTGCGGTTTTGAATGATTTTTTTCTTCGGTTTTGCGGTTTCTAATATACCCCAATGCCCTCCTCTTTCACCGGTCTATAACAAACCAATTCTTGCTTAGCGATCCATGTGAGACCCACTTTTGAGCATTTTAAGCATCTGCTCTAAAAGCGCTGAATGGCACGTTAGCTTTTTGTTAGACAAAACAAACAAAAAATCTTTGTGTTAGTGCACTCAAACTTTGAGTGTTTGTACGAGTGCTCGTTATTTATATCATTGCATTTGACGAGGGAAGAGGGCCTATTTAGCAACGAAAAATATTATGTATTCGGAACATCATCATAAAATAGAACGGTTTGCTGATACATTGCACAATCTTTTTCCAGCTGATTGTGTTAAAGTTTTAAACCTAAAAAAGGCTCGACTCCTTGTCATAATAGGATAAGAAATTAAAGGATCCCGACCCCATGACCGCAAGTTTGAATGTTAACCTCACCCTAATCCATGGTGTTCCGTTATGGTACCTACTAGAATAGACAAGTCATGATTATTACATAACGCTATACTCCTCGGAATCCAATTCAATTTAAAAAAAAAAAAAAAAAAAAAAAAAGTAGCAACAGAAAAAGATTTAACCCCTCTATATTTCAAGGACTTCAAGAAAGTCAAGAGTATATCTATTTAATGTTAAAAAGGACGCATAATAGTGTAAGTGAAGCAGAGGAGGTAGCCTTTGTGTAAAAAGGTAAACATTCAAGTAATAGTGTATGATCCAAAAACTCTAGAGGAGATTAATGGTGAATGTCATTGGGAAACTACACGAACTCAGAGAGAGTCAGTCATGTTGTTGAGTTTGCTGTTGGAATTTGTTGTTGTTGTGAATTCACTTTATGTGAGTTACTTTTTATGTCGCGTTTCCAACTAAAAGCGAACTCATGGATTGTGTAACTGTGTACTTTACCTCCTTCTCTTGCTTCAGGTCTTCCTGTTGTTTTGGTGGTAGTTTTTACTGCTGTTGCCTTTAAAGTCTTAACCACAACAAACCAGGAATAACAACACTGCTTATTCTTTTCAAACAACAATATGGGAACCATTGACAAACTGCAGTTAGCATAGCTAATTAGCTTTATCATCCTTTCACGAGGGGGGCATTGGGATTTTCGGTTTTGCGGTTTTGGCTATTTTTGAGATTAGTTTTTCGGTTTTTGTTGCAAAAGACTTCGGTTTTTCGGTTTTGGTGGTCATTGCGGTTTGCAGATTTTTCGTTTTTTAGCATCTGGTTTTCGGTTTTCGTGAAAAATACTAGCAGTTTTTCGGTTTTGGTACCCGATGTGGTTTTTGGTTTTTCCTATTTTGTCCTATTTTGGGTTCTCGTTTCTGTTCAATTTGAGCAGCACTTAATCTCGAATAGCCGCAAAACGCCAGTTATTTAGTGGAATGCGTGACAAAATAAATGTCATGGTAGGGGATCAAGCGTCTCCCTTGACGCCCGGCGAGCCTTTGACCTCGCCGACCAGGGCGACCATTTGGTCAGTTTGCGAGCTATGGCTTCCAACGTGCCTCCCGCGCCAGCAACGGAAGAAGCAATTGTGGATTGTGTTGCGTTTTTTTACGAGGAGGGGAGTTATCAAATGGTAATGTTNTTTAGCATCTGGTTTTCGGTTTTCGTGAAAAATACTAGCAGTTTTTCGGTTTTGGTACCCGATGTGGTTTTTGGTTTTTCCTATTTTGTCCTATTTTGGGTTCTCGTTTCTGTTCAATTTGAGCAGCACTTAATCTCGAATAGCCGCAAAACGCCAGTTATTTAGTGGAATGCGTGACAAAATAAATGTCATGGTAGGGGATCAAGCGTCTCCCTTGACGCCCGGCGAGCCTTTGACCTCGCCGACCAGGGCGACCATTTGGTCAGTTTGCGAGCTATGGCTTCCAACGTGCCTCCCGCGCCAGCAACGGAAGAAGCAATTGTGGATTGTGTTGCGTTTTTTTACGAGGAGGGGAGTTATCAAATGGTAATGTTCGATTGGAGATTTTCGATTGAAGTTTTCAGAGCTATAGCTTTTTGCGACTGACTTGTGTGCAAATTCTCCTAAGTTAACTAGGCTCCATAACTAGTGGCTTTTCGGAAATTGAGCTGCAAAGTCTGGGCTCGAGGGAGCGGCAGAAACAAAACCTATGATTTAAGCAGACACAAAAAGATACAAAGGCTTCGGACAAAGTTCATGACATTCACAAATACTTTGGTGAAATTAGTGTTAGTTTAGTTTGCTCTGTATGCCCCACTTGTCACCATTGTATCAGTTTTTGACGGTTTTGTATGTGGTTTTCGGTTTTGGCCGAATTTTTTTGCGGTTTTGAATGATTTTTTTCTTCGGTTTTGCGGTTTCTAATATACCCCAATGCCCTCCTCTTTCACCGGTCTATAACAAACCAATTCTTGCTTAGCGATCCATGTGAGACCCACTTTTGAGCATTTTAAGCATCTGCTCTAAAAGCGCTGAATGGCACGTTAGCTTTTTGTTAGACAAAACAAACAAAAAATCTTTGTGTTAGTGCACTCAAACTTTGAGTGTTTGTACGAGTGCTCGTTATTTATATCATTGCATTTGACGAGGGAAGAGGGCCTATTTAGCAACGAAAAATATTATGTATTCGGAACATCATCATAAAATAGAACGGTTTGCTGATACATTGCACAATCTTTTTCCAGCTGATTGTGTTAAAGTTTTAAACCTAAAAAAGGCTCGACTCCTTGTCATAATAGGATAAGAAATTAAAGGATCCCGACCCCATGACCGCAAGTTTGAATGTTAACCTCACCCTAATCCATGGTGTTCCGTTATGGTACCTACTAGAATAGACAAGTCATGATTATTACATAACGCTATACTCCTCGGAATCCAATTCAATTATTTAAACCAATTTTCTGGTGGCGGTGGCAGGTATTGTTTTCTAGAAACAACGAAATATCAGAGAGTGTCAGTTGATGTACATACGTTTCAATTGATTGAAAGTCTTTGAAGACTTAAAATTGAGTTATACTGTTTTTCTTATCTCCACAATATAGAACTGCATGATGGAAGAAATAGATAGAGTTGTTAAAAAAAAAATTAAGGAAAGCTTGAGAAAGCTGTAGTAATTGTAGGGAGCAAACAGGTAATTACATTTAAAACTAAACTACGGTAAGCATACAGCAACAAAAAAAAAAACAACAAAAGTATAATTTATCTGAAAAACAAAAGTGTTATCAATGTGTAATGGATGGAAATGACTTAATTATCCACCAAGAAACTTTGCCACACTGGAGCACCAGAAATTCAAAGTTTTATAGATATAAATTTAAAAAAAACGACATTATTAATGAAGTAGAACTACTCGCCGCGTCACTTTAGTTTTGAACAGTTTCAAGAAAATTGCAATGGTCAATAGTGATGTTTAAAACGTTGGTCAATTTTAAACTGTAACAAACACCCCTGTGAGCTAGTCTGGAATTTAAGAGTAAATAAAGTTTAAATATGTATGTATTGTATGTAAGTATGTTAGGCCTTTTAATGCTTGTGATCCATTACATGTTTCTCTTTCTCTTGTATTTATTTTTCCATTTGTTGTGTTTCAATTTCGTCTCTATTTAATGTTGATAAGAAAAGGATTTGGTTGTTTATTGAGTGGTTCCCTTATTTCTCTGGATCTTTGTATTCCAAAGAGGCTGTTGCAGAGAGATTATTTTGGTTATTGGAGGGCAACTAATGTTTATTGGCTGTAAAGGGTGTGTGAAGATGTCCATAATGATAGAATATTGAAAAGTATAATGCATGTCACAGTACACGAATGGGCTGTTGGGAAGGACACGAAATAGAAATCTACAGTGGCCAGGAGGCTTTTAATTGAAAATTGACAGGAGTACAAGGTGAACATTGAAAATTGAATGGGGCTCGAAGTAAAGCAAGGCAAAAGATGAATGGGAGCAGCCTTGGTTGTCTATACTTGTTTGGTGAACAGCTGCTTTGCAGTGAAAGCTAAAACAACATTTGCAGCTTCATGTTTTTTATTGCAAAGCCTGAAACGACAGTTCTGATTGAAGCTACATATTAAGAAATTTTAAAGTTGAGAGGTAGATGTTGTTGGAAAATTGTCGTGAGTGTTGGCATGGGGAGCAACGAGATTGAAATATAGCCTCAAAGGTTTGGACTCCACTTTTTGCTGTTAATATTGTGGTAAGATTGTAAAAAGTAAAATAAAAGTAGACGTGTAAGTCTATGGACTGTTTGAAAGGATGCATTGTAGTAGTCGTAAAGAAGAAGAGGCAGCCTTTAATAAAAAGTTGATTGTCGCTTTTAGTGGTGTATACTCCAAACCTCTAGAAATAAATTACTAAAACGAGATTTATGGTGAATGTCATTGGAAAGTTTCATTAGTCTCAGTATTGCATGACCTCAAAACTTCTTCCACTTTTCGCTCTGAGTTCTTTATGGAGAACTGTCATCTTCGTAACAAACGCCCCTGTGAGCTACTCTGGAATTTAACAGTAAATAAAGTTTGCATATGTATGTATTGTATGTAAGCTTGTTAGGCCTTGTAATGCTTGTGATCCATTACATGTTTCTCTTCTCTTGTATTTTTTTTTCCATTTGTTGTGCTTCAATTTCGTCTCTATTTAATGTTGATAAAAAAAGGATTTGGTTGTTTATTGAGTAGTTCCCTTATTTCTCTGGAGCTTTGTCTTCCAAAGGGGCTGTTGCAGATAGATTATTTTGGTTATTGAAGGGTAACTAATTTTTTATTGCCTGTAAAGGTTGTGTCAAGACTGTCATTTCTCTTTATATTTTACCTAGGCACAAGACGCCTAACTAAATAAAATGAAATAAAGTTAAAGTAATGACGTTAAATCACCAAATCTTAGACTTTTCCCATAAGGACGTGTTGGAAACATTGACAAACTGCAGTTAGCATAGCTAATTAGCTTTATCATCCTTTCACCGGTCTATAACAAACCAGTTCAACGACCTGCTCCCAGTTGTCTCGTTAGCTCAATCAGTAAGAGCACTGCACCGGTATCGCTGAGGTCAAGGGTTTACATTGCGTTCAAGGGTGAATTTTTTTTTTCAGGTTTTCTTTTCACAACTGCAAAGGTTGCTTCTATAACTGCAATGATCTACCTTCATACTATTGTTCATCCGCAGTTCACATAAATGATTTTCATGTATTTAGAACTTCACGTGAAAGTAAACGAGAAGTCACGTAGATTAAGGCAGAATCTCTTGGACTTTTAACAAAAATTAATGCATTAATTAGGATTGTCATCAAATGCAAATCCTCTAGGTAAAGTGCAGACTGCAGACAAAAATAAGACAGTCACAATGATAGAGAAATACATTTTACAACCAAACCCGTACTTTGTACTGATATAAGTATCAGTGTGCTCGGACCAAGATATAGTTCAGGGTTCTCCTGAAATTTTGAAGTAGAAGGAGAACGAAGGGGAGTAGCCGTCAGAGAAAATTCTTTAAGGCGCGACAGTGCCTTCCACATGCCCTTGGCGCGTGTGGGGGGAGAGTATGGGAGGGAGGACATCCCTCCCATAGGGGGGTCCGGGTGGCCTTCCCCTGGAAAAATTTTGCAATTTGGAGCTCGTAAAGTGCATTTTGGAAGATGACTGCCATGATGATAGAACTTTTATTAATCCACCTTCTCACATATATTACATTTTTGAGAAAAACTTCAGAAATGCGATGCACCCAACATCAAAGTTCAATTTTTTCTGTAATACTTCAAAAATAGTTTAAAGATCTGATAGTGTGTTAAAATGTCTAGAAATCAACGTCAAACTCGAAGTCTGAATCTACATCAGACGACTCATCTAGCATGTCCATCTCAGTAAGTGCCTTGTGAACACTGTTTGCGAAGGCTGATGCCTGAGTTACTAGCTGGGGTTCTTCTTCCATCGATATCACATCCATATTTTCTGCAATAGAATGAAATAAACATCAGTTCTTAACTCAATAACTGGCTATTTTTTGTTTCTTTCTAAGCTATTATCTCTGTGTAATCTTAATTTTAATTGGGGCTATGTTTGATTTGAAGTTATTTATATTACCAGTAATACTTACCAGGTGTCTCAGTCTGAGTGGCAACAGTTGCCAATTCAGTGATCCTTGCATCTCCGTGCTTACTGCCACCAATCCTTGGGAGGTTCAATGGAGGTAGGTTTCTCTTGTGGGTGTTCCTCCATACTTGTGCTGCCTCTGCCAGGATTACTTGACACTCTTCGGACTTTGGCTCTGGTCCATTGATTGAAACATGAAGACATGTCGACAGCATGTCATTCTTCAGGCGGTTTCTTAGCCTTGTCTTAACCCTTTTGACAGCACTGGCTCCTCTTTCAACAACAGCATTTGACATTGGCTGTGTCAGACAGATCTTTGCAGCATCCACCAAAAAGCTGTAGCTTTCTCTGAGTAGTGCTTGCTCTTTCACGATTTTACGAAGAATCCATTCGGTGGGTGATAGTTTGGACTCCTTCCCACCTTGCAGCACATTCTGAGGTGGCTTCCAGGATAGCATGAGGTATTTGAAATTCTGCCACTGGGTTGTCATCTGATCTTCACTGAATTGGAATTGATCAGCTAAAATCTTCACACTGGCCACACCATGTTCCATGAACTCAGGATCAGTGGTAGCAGGCAGGGTGGTTGGATTGAAGATGCTGAAGGCCTCTAACACTGGAGCAGCTTGAGTGAAGCGTCTGTCCAGGTTCTCTTCTAGTGCTAAAGTGTAGCTTTGGCACAGGTTGACCAATACTTCTTCCTGTGATGAGGGAAGAGTAAGTTCTAAATCTTTGTACTGGCCCATCAAAGCTTCTTTCAGGACATGTAGTGGCTTGCAACTGGATCTTATTTCAGTGATTCTCTTCTTTGTCAATTCCAATGATGGCTTAATGGCAGAATAATGGATTTTGTTTTGTTGGAATACTTTACTTAAGGTGTTAAGGTGAGGAAGAACTTCGTTTAAGATGAGAAGGGTACCCACAAACTTGACGTTATTCATCCTTTTTAGCAACCCATCAGCTGTGGCATCATGCTCCTTGAATTTTCTGAGAGTTTGCATCAGTGCCACCAAATTTGTACAAACACTTGATACACTTTGCCCTGTTGACAGCCATCGTGTCCTGCAGGCCTTCTGGACTTTTACAGCCAATGACTTCTTCTGCGCAGCATCTGGCACTTGAATTTTCCTCAAACTTTCACAGACCTTGATGTATGCAGAGCATCTCTTGGGGTATTCGAGCCACTTCCAGAGCTGCTTGAGCGTAGTTTCCACTGTGGTAATGAATTTGACCCGATCATTCGCATCTCCACAGGCCAGAGCCAATCTATGGTTTATACAGTGCGTTCTTATGAGAAGAGGACACACTGCTTGTAGTCTGGCACCAACACCATTATGGGCTCCTGTCATCACACTGGCACCATCCGAACCGAATCCACAGGCATGTTCAACTTGCAGGCCACTTTCTTTCAGCTCCTCAATAATTAAACGGGTGATCGTTTCAGCATCAGCAGAATCGGATGTTGCAAGGCAATCTTTAACTTCCAAGAAGTCAAAGTGGGTCTCGCCTGTCTCGTCCACATAACCAATGTAAATGAGGAGTTGTTCGATCACAGCACAATCTGTCACTTCGTCAACGAGGATGCTGAACCACTTTGCTTCTTTGATTCGTGCTAGCGTCGTCTTCTTCAGTAATTGCCCCAGTAGCAATCTCTGCTCCCTTTGACATCGTTCACTTGTGTTCTTCCAGTGACTCATTTCTTGAAGACCAACCTGTTCTTCTAGCTTTAACAATGACTTCAACTTCACATTGGCAATCTCTTCATGTGCTAGCCAGTAAACACTCAGCATAGCATTGAATGTCACCTTGTCTGCTTTTTCTTGTACAGTTTTGTGCTGTTGTGCAAGGGGGCTCTTTCGTCTCTCCAGTTCAAGAAGATAGGTTCCAAGGTGCCCAGTTGACCTTGCATGGCCCAGGTCTTTTTTGCCTACAGGGTGCCCATCAGCCTTGGAGTTGAAGAGAGCTGATCTCTTATAGCGAACGGATGGCTCACAGTTAAACTTGCAATCTTTGTTGTATCTGTTCTTTGTGTTATGTATGCGACAAAGAAGGCAGTACATCCCCTCCCCTTCAATGAAAACAAGCCACCACATCCCTGTTTCCCTTGAAAACGTGAGGGTTTCATCGAATAGCCATTTGTGCTGGAATTTGTCACCTTTTCCTTGTTGCTTTTGTTGCTCTTGTTTGGAAAGCTCTGTACACGAGCCTGAACAGGTGTAATAACTGTGCAGGGTTTTTCCGCTAAAAGCCTCGGGAAAGTACTCTTCCAGTAGGTTCATGGCTTCCTTGTGTTCCAGTTTAGGAGGAGTAGAAGTCCGTGACGTAACATTCGCAGATGCTGTTTCGCCGACAGTGCCAGACGATTTAGAAGGCGAGGGTTCTTGGATGCTGGCACTTGTACAGGAATCCTCTTCATCAAGTGCTGGGAAATTGATAATGCAAACTAAAGGATTGCCTACATTGCCTGTTAACCCTAATTTTCATATAAAAATTAAAACAATCAATTTGCAGTGCATTTAAATGACTGAAAACTCGTGAAGACAATCTTAAAAAATCTTTTCTAGAAATGGGGTATTATAACGTTCCCGTAAAAAAAGAAAACTAGGTTATTTTATTACTTGTAGTCTTCAAAATGCTTAGATGAAGAATAAAAACTTTCCTGACCAAATCTACGGATTCTCCGTTGGAATTCTGTGCGTGGGTTCCTAAGTCCGCGGGAAAATTATCTCAGGAACTGAAAGAATGTAAGTTTTAAGGGGTAAATTAAATTTAAGTTTAAATTTTTTGAGTTGTATTTTGTCACTTCTTTACTTGTTTTCAGGGAAAGCCGAGAACGAAAAATGAAAAACGTCATTTTCAAAAACCGCCCTGCAAATTTGTAATGCATTTCGTTGACGAATTTCTAGCAACAAAGCCGGCCAAGAAATGTTCAGGGTTTTTTGTTCGGGTTGTTTCATTCAGTCGTTGCTTTGTTCGTTCGTTTTTTTCGATCGATGGATCGATCGTTCATCTGTTTCTTATAAATTTGCAGAATGTAGTCTTTATTTTTTTTAAAAAATGCGGGTGCATCAAGCCACGCTTTTCAGTCACGTTTTCTGCGACGTTTTCAAACTTAACACCTTGCAAAATTGAAAATGTTCTACAGTCCCACAAAGATCAGATCTTACCGAACGGGTTGATCAAAGAAATGAAAGCACATGAACAAAAGGAACATTTTTTGTATGTTTATTGAATCTAAAATATTCCGTGTCGGTCGGGCTGATCGCGTTGGCGACGTGTTGAAAGTACAAAATTTAATTATGCGTACTTTCGATTCGGATATAAATAGAAATAAAATTTACAAAGGAAAATCAACCTACCTTGTTCTGTGCCTTCTTTGGGCCTTTTATTCCACGCGTTGAAGAGTGTCTGTTGTTTTGCCAGTCGCTTCATTTCGGTTCTCATTTGTTGCAATTACGTTTCTGTTCTCATGAAAAAATTTTTCCGTGCTGCTGTCACGGGTCGGTGCACACGTGAAAAATGCCGCGATTACAAGCGGCAAGACGTTGTATCAAACTTCACCTATTTTCAATTTTCATGCCAAAACTTTGATTTTAATTACAGTTTTATTTCAACTTGGAAACGGTAATGCATTTGTTTTTATCACCGCGCTTGAAGTGAAAAGTTTACACAGTGAATTTTTCCATCTTCCAAAATAAATATTTTTTTATTTGGATCTGAGTAGCCGGCGCGCCAAGGACGACTAGACGGCGATTTTCGCCGGTCGCCGGGGCTTACGGAGATCTCTGTAGTTTGGTTTATAACAACTCCCAAGTACTTAAACAAGTCAATAGCAATAGTCAAACAAGTCAATATCAATAGTCCTTTCAATAGCAGTGAAATTTATTTTTAGAGAAACGTCGATCTAGCAGAGTAACTCCTTTTGAGAGAGCTCCCTCTTTCATGCCGACCCCACCAGACCATTGGCCCAACAATAGCCGGTTTCCTCTTGTCGTGTACTCAAATACAATTAACACTTTAATATTCCGTAAGGAAGGTGCATATGCTTTGGTCTGTGGGCTGTAGGTATCCTCCTCCTCAAAATGAAGTATTTTTAAAACAGATTTTTGTTTTCAAAAAATTTTTGTGTGGATGGGAAAAGCACAGAAGTTCACAACAGCAGAGTGGACATGCCTTCCCGGTCCCCCTTTTAGTTCGACTATTCTTCATTGTTTTTTGTCTGGAGGATTTGATCTTGCCCTCGTGGACATCATAAGATCACACTGCTATATATTCACAGTTGAATTTTTTAATATTATGGCGGACTCTTTCCACTTGCAATGGCGATTTTTCTTTGTCCCTTAGTCGCTTAGCACAGAAGAGCATGTAGAGGCGTCAGGCCTATTCATTCACCTAACTTCTAGGACCATTCTTCATTGTTTAAACTGGAGGAGCTCGTCTCGCCCTCGTGGATCTTATAAGTTCACATTGCTACAAATTCTTGTCACTTACCAAGATCATACTTCCAAATGTTATGGCGGCCTCTGTCTACAGACAAAGGAAACATCCCTTTCTTGTGCAGTTACTTTTCGAGCTTTTAAGCCCGAAAAGTGGTTTTCTTAAGACTTGACAAGTCTACTATTTTTAGATAAACTACCTTTGTCTAATATATGAAGAGTTTTGGTATCCATAACCCCCCTTCTGATAACTATGCAGCTTTTCAGTTTTTTGTCCCCCAAAGGGAATTAAAACCGCTGTATAGAAAGTTAACTTGGCCTATATAAATACTTTGCTTAAGCCTTGACAAGTGTGTTATTTTTAGATAAATTACCTTTGTCTTATATTCGCAGGGTTTTATGGTTCTTAAACCCCCCTGATTACAATACGGCTTTTAGGCTTTTTCTCCCCTGAAAGGGAGTAGAACCTTTGTTGTTCCTTCTTCTTTCCAACTTTTTTTCTCTTCTTTTTGTTCCCTGACACGTTCTTTTGGATAAAAGTTATCTCTTCAAAGTGCTTATGCCTGCGAAGAGATTAACATGTTTAAAACAAATTCTGCAGGTACCTCTCTCCAATTGGCTACTCAAGCTGGCTATAAGGGGCTATCGTGCCTGACGGGTCCAAATAAATAAATCCTTCGTTCACTCGTCACTACTACTGCTGTTAGAGCTCTCTGTGATATGCATATCTCCTTTTAACTCTTGATTGTGTTTTCTTTTTTAATTTTTTGTTTTCTTCTTTTAAATTTTCATTTTGTTCTTTCGAATTTTCATTCTCCTCTTTTAAATTTTCCATTTCTTCCTTTAGTTCTTCATTTTGTTCTTTTAAATCTGCAAAAAAAAGAAGGCTTTGTTAGTGAAGCCTAGTATTCCATACATACTTGTATTAGAGGTGTTTTATTCCCTTAATTAGATCTTCACAGGGTCCCGACTTGGATTTTTTTCCTGTGTTTTGATAGCCTCTAAACGCATGAACTTTTACTGTCAAAGAAAGAAAACTGCATAAGAGAAAACAAAAGAATAAGATATGGAGTGTTGTCATTGAAGCTTTAACACGCGTCCTCTATAAGGTGAATTGAAAAGTTTCTACTTTCTGTGCCCCAAAAATTACCATTAGTGGGGCACGAAGAGGCAAGAGCTCTGTAATATAACTCAGACTAAATAAATAGTCATGACGAAAAGATACTAAAATATTTACCCGGTTAACTTTGCACAAAATTATTTATGTTTTACTATTTACAGGTTTCTATCTACAGTTTACTATTTGCAATGTTTTAATAGCTACTTTTCTATTTATTTACAATAATAACATCTGAGTTATCACTTTTTGAAGCCCCTTCTTGAAGGCGGCGAGGCTTTGCTTTGCCCTGATCTCATTTGGCAGGCCATTCCATAGATTAACTGGGGTTGCTGGAGGCGGCCCAGTTCATAAAATGCTGTCAATTTTTTTTGCCCGAAGGGGGGGATTTCTAGCAATTCGTTTTGGGGTGTGCCGTCCTACTCTTTAAACCCTGACCCCAGACACTCGCACTCGCACCAATACATATTGGGCAAAGAAGGTTGCACCCATCCAGGATTGTTGAGTCTTAAAATGATGGCTATCAAAACTGACAAATCAGAGGGGTATTCCTCCGGAGTTTTTTGTGGGGCTGTGTTGTCCGACTGTCCAAACCGAGACCCTAGACTTATTCTAAAGACGGTCTTTCTAGTGGTATTGCCAGAGTTTCCCTACCTTTTCTATGTGAAAAGTTGAAAAAAAAGCCTGGAAAGTTCTAACTAGACTACCATGCGACGATCGATATCATATCGACATCCATATCGATCTTCTTTTTGCAGAAGCAAGCACAGCAACAACAACGACAGCAGCAACAACAGTTACTACTAGAAGACCGTCAGCAAGAGGTAGAGACCTTAAAAGGTAACAGTTTTACTCTCCCTGAGTTGGCAATTTGAAAATTTATATGGAACAAATAAGGATGAGTCAGTAAAGGAATAATAACTGGTAGACAATATTACCACGTAAAATTACTAGTACTTCGCAAAATGGAGCAGTAAAGTAATAACTAGCAAACAATATTACCACTAAATATTAATATAATAACTCAAGTGAAGCAGTAAAGGAATAATAATCAGTAGACAATATTACCACAAAAAATTTCTATGACTACCAAAAAGGGAATAGTAAAGGAATAATGACTAGTTGACAGTATTAGCTCAAAAAAAATAATATTGCTACCAAAAATGTAACAGGAAACGAATAACGTGTAGAAAATGTTACCACCAAAAATAAATATTACTACCCAAAATTGAAGTGTAAAGGAATCTTAACTAAGAGACGATATTGCCACAAAATTAATATTACTACCCAAAATGGAATCGTAAAGGAATAATAACTAGTAGACAAAATTACCAGAAAAAATTAATATTACTAACAAAAAGGGAATAGTAAAGGAATAATAACTAGTAGACCTCTTTTTTGTTTATTTTCTAGCAGGTAACTACTCTACGTCCTAACACCTTAACATTATTGCCAAAAATGGAATAATAACTAGCAGAAAATATTTCAACCAAAAATTAAGGAGGTACTGAACAAAAGAAAGAAAGTTTTATTTTTAGAAATTGTACAAAATAACTGGAATTTAAGAGTAAATGAAGTTTGTATGTAAGTATGTTAGTCCTTGTAATGCTTGTGATCCATTACATGTTTCTCTTTCTCTTGTATTTATTTTTCCATTTGTTGTGTGTCAATTTCGTCTCTATTTAATGTTGATAAGCAAAGGATTTTGCTGTTTATTGAGTAGTTCCCTTACTTCTCTGGATCTTTGTATTCCAAAGAGGCTGTTGCAGAGAAATTATTTTGGTTATTGAAGGGCAACTAATGTTTATTGGCTGTAAAGGTTGTGTAAAGATGTCGATAGTGAAAAGAATAATTCATGTCACAGTACACGAATGGGCTTTTGGCAATGACACAAAATAAAAAATCTACAGAGGCCAGGATACTTTTAATTGAAAATTGAAAGGAGTACAAGGTGAATGTTGAAAATTTAATGGAGCTCAAAGTAAAGCAAGGCAATAGTTGAATGGGAGCAGCCTTGGTTATACTTGTTTGGTGAACAGCTGCTCTGCAGTGAAAGCTAAAACAACATTTTCAGCTTCATGTTTTTTTATTGCAAAGCCAGAAACGACAGTTCTGATTGAAGCTACATATTAAGAAATTTTAAAGTTGAGAGGTAGATGTTGTTGGAAAATTTTAGTGATTGTTGGCATGGGAAGCAAGGAGATTGAAATATAACCTCAAAGGTTTGGATGCCACTTTTTGCTCTTAATATTGTGATAAGATTGTAAAGAAGTAAAATAAAAGTAGACGTGTAAGTCTATGGACTGTTTAAAAGGATGCATTGTAGTAGTCGTGAAGAAGAAGAGGCAGCCTTTAAAAGTTGATTGTCGCTTTTTATGGTGTATAATCCAAAATCTCTAGAACTGAATGTTGAGTTCAAATTTTACTAAAACGAGATTTATGGCGAATGTCATTGGAAATTTTCATTGGTCATAGTATTGCATAACCTCAAAACTTCTTTCACTTTTCTCTCTGAGTTCTTTATGGAGAACTGTCATCTTCTTTAACTGTAACAAACACCCGTGTAAGCTACTCTGGAATTTAAGAGTCAAGAAAGTTTGCATGTAATATATCAAACTTGAGACGCAGTGTTTAATCACCAGATGAAACACCGAGAAGAGAGTTGAAAATACGACGCACAGCGGAGTATTTTTGACGAACTTCGAGGTGTTTCATCTGGTGATGAAACACTGTGTCGAATGTTTGATATTTCTTCTCAAATAAAATCATTTTTCAAGGAGAAATTAAGGATGCAAAAATGAGCAGTTTTTCATCTGATATCCAAACACTCATTAAACATTAATTTCCTTTGAATTTTCTTTATAAATTATTAATGAGTTTGAGAAATGTATGTATTGTATGTAAGCATGTTAGCCCTTGTAATGCTTCTGATGCATTGCATGTTTCTCTTCTCTTGTATTTATTTTTCTATTTGTTGTGTTTCAATTTCGTCTCTATTTAACGTTGATAAGAAAAGGATTTGGTTTTTTCTTGAGTAGTTCCATTATTTATCTGGATCTTTGTCTTCCAAAGAGGCTGTTGCAGAGAGATTATTTTGGTTATTGAAGGGCAACCAATTTTTTATTGGCTGTAAAGGTTGTTTCAAGACTGCCATTTCTCTTTATATTCAACCTTAATATTCAAAAATTTGTAGTCTTGCAACGGGATTGCCATCATGCAATATGCCTAACTAAATAAAATGAAATAAAGTTTAAAAGTAAATGATGTTTAAAAATTTTCTACAAAAGATTAAATGCACTATTAAAATTTACCCGACTAAAATATGAGAATAAGACTTTTTTAAATCGATCTGCAGACTAACAAAAATAACAATTCTTGTGAGTCTCAGAATTTGGCAGCAGTTCAATAAACTTGTTGTTGGTAGAGTTCTTTAAAATGTCTTCTGCGCTCCATAACATAGTCTGGGTAGGCCTGGCTGCCATCACCGTGAATTGCTTTGTGGAATAAGGTTAACTGTGAGATTGTTCTTTGTACCTTTAGGGGTATCTAGTTTAACTAGTTTAACTTGTGCAAGAGGTTGGTAACTGTTCCTGGTTCCCGAGTATGACAGTTTTAACGAAGTGTGAGTCCAAGACTGAGCTAGCGTATTCCATGTGAGGCGTCCCAAGGGCTTTGTAGCCTGCCTCTTTCACTCCCTCGGGGCAACTACTCGGGTTTCGCCGAAGAAATCCGAGTGATCGATTGGTTTTCATGACTTTGTTATTTACATGCTGGCCCCAATAGAGGTTTCTGGATAATTCTACGCCTAGATAGGGGTGGTTGGTAACCAAATCTAAGACTTTTCCCATAAGGACGTAGTTGGACTCAACAGGATTTTGCTTCCTC